GATCCTGGAAGACTTCTCCTTTTCGTTCTCCCCTTTTCTCTCAACTGTAACCCATGCTTTTCTTTGGCCTATAAAAGGGAAAGCAGGGCATCCCACAAGGAGCATGGAATCATCGAGACCAACGATCGCAACACATCGGATCAACTCTCGAACCATCGAACTCGAATTCGATCGATCCACCAAACCCCCATTCGCTCCTCTCACAGAGACTTTGGACCTGTCCCTCTCTCGATCGTTTGTAACCCCTACTACGAATTTTCAGTGCTAGTAACACGAACAGCAGCAATGAACTGGACATAGGGACATTCTGTCCGAACCAGTATAAACCTCGTGTCCTCTTAGCACACCATCCGAGTGGACCGAGTAGGAAATTTTTTTTGGAGGAGTGAGTTGCGCGGGGTGGGATGGGGGAGTGGGATGAGTGGATGACCACGGTGGTCAGCGGAGTGAGTTGCGCGGTGTCCGGATGGGGGTGGACGCCCATGACGAAGCATTTTCGTTTCTTAAAACCTCTAGTAACATTCACGTACAAACATGTACACTCACTTTTATCAACACTCGCATGCAGCACCTCCAAAAGATTAAACTGGACTAATTTTTTTTTGAGATTGTCGAAGTCACGACATTCTTACTAGCAGTACAAAGTTTGTAATATAATAGTTCAAAATTTATAAATTCCGAGTGCAAAGTTTTGAACCTAACAGTATAAATTTATAATGTGATAGTTCAAAGTTTATAAATTCTGAGTGTAAAGTTTTGAACCTAGCAATATAAAGTTTATAATGTAATAGTTAAAAGTTTTTAAATTTTGAGTCCAAAGTTTCGAATAATGAAGTTTTTTGATATATGAATTTTAATACAGGACTTGAGAGCTATAAATATAGAAAATTTCATAGAGTGATTCTAAACTTTGCATTTTCCAAATAAAAAGTTTTGATATGCAAGATGAAAACCTAGATATAGAAAGTTTTATTTATTTAACATCAGCGGGCAGGAAAATAGGTTGGGCTGTTTGTGCATGTATCGCAGACGTCAGTGCCGCTTCTGCCGCAACCGTGTGTGCACCAGCTCGCGCGTCGGGCCATCAGTTTAATTACACATCGCGCGTGGATAATCCTCCGTGCGCTGCTAATAGCTGGTAGTGCGCGCGCCGCTACCAGTACCTGCGCGCGCCGAACAAGGATCGCGCAAGGCATGAGCATGATACTCTTAAGAAAACTTATTTGAAGATTTTTCACTGTTCTACATTTTTTTAAGGGAAGGGAGATTATATTAAAATTTGTCACAGTACATCCCAAACTATATATAAAAAAAATCTAAAATAAAAAATACACAATATTCTAGGCATATTCTTCCATCCTTTTCTTTCCCAATGACATCCCTCGAACGTCGGAGCTAAAATGCAGTCCTAGTCGAATCCAACGACCAGCCCTAAAATATTGGACACGCCGCAAAAGCCAACGCTTCGGAACGAGTCCAAAACGCATCAGAATCGATAAAAGAATATCAGAAGTTGCATCGTCGGAAGGAGCATATGATGCGGATTCATCACCTTTAAACATTTATTCCTCTCCGCAACTAATGACGATGAGATCAATGACCCCAAGTAGGTGTCTTCGTTGGGGGTGTCTAGAAGCATCCCTCCCCTTGCAGATAATGGCCACAACTTGGCCGCCTGGGGATGAAATCGACGCCTGCAATGGCGATCTTGTCGTGGCAATCATCGAAATCATCGTAGGAAACACAGTTCCGATCGAAAATCATCTGATTTTGCTGGAAGATCGATTTAGAATAAACCCTAAGTAGCTGGAGAAAAACTACTGGAAATTAAAGAGACGGGTCCCCAGGAGAAAGAGAGGGGCACGAGGCGGAGGCACGGCGACGGTGAGAACGATCTAAGGACGGCGGCGGCCTTTTCCTGTTGACCTACGCGGAAGGATGTGTCGAAACGTACATCCAGATTCTACATTCATCGTCTAAAGTTCAGATTTTGTTACTAGAAATGAGATCCAAACCGAGCATTCAGATATATAGGAGGTGATGTTTAATAATCACAACTCCCCATTGTCAGACACAGGGGTCACGATGAACAAGCTCTGTTCTAACTTCTAACTATCATCGGGTATACCTCGATCATACTGCAGCAAATAAACATTGGTACATACTCCCGATCCTAATTCTGCCAGTGCCAGACACCCGATCTGCAACGACGATAATATGACGAGGACACCAGCATGCCAACCGTGCTAGCTAGCTAGTACAGCGGGCAGTCGGGCACAGGCATGCCAAGTCGCTGAAAGAATCCGCTTCCCTAGCCAAGCTCTCCATGTTACGCACGAACCTGCCAAGTTCAAAGTCCTCCTGATCGTCACACCGTGCCACCTCGACCTCGTCGACGGCGACAGCGACGGTGCTGATGGCGCCAAGGACGGCGCAGCCTTGACACTTGGCCTCCCTGTGAGGATGTAAGCCCAATACGCCAGCCATTCGTAACCGCTCAGGTCGCGGCCGTCGGCCAGCTCGACGATCCGGCAGATCGTAGCGACCGCTTCCTGGAGCCTGCCCAAGAGCGTGCTCCCTTCTCCCGCTGCCTGAGCCGCTGCTGCCGCCGACGGACCCATATGAATCTGCCCTGCCCCTGCGAGCTCAGGCAGTGCACCAAGTTTGGAGTCGGATGTTTTAAACGGTGGTGGATAGTCCCCGGTATTGCTGCGCGCGGGACTCGATCGCAACCTCTTAAACCCAATATCTTCTGCGAATGTCAGCGCCGGTGCCGGTGCCAAGATCTCGAGTTTAAGCAGCTTTATGAAGATCCTGATGTCGCTGGAGAGGTCCTCCAGTCTCTCCACCGCGTTGTTCAGTCTCTCCATGTCCTCTTCGCTTGAGAAGAGGAGCGTCTTTGTGGCGCTCAAGATGCCCTGCGCCTGCGGCATGCCCGACGGAGCATTATTATTCCCTGCAATGGCCGTAGCCCGTAGCCAAAGCGGTAGACGAGGAGGAAGAAGAAGATGGGTCTTGCTGGTGCTGGTGCTGCTGGGCGTCGCCGTCGCCGGTGGCTTGAGCTGGAGCAGCAGCTTCTGTTTCTCGCTGCCTGAAGCTGGCGAGCACCTCGCCGCCCTCCGCGGCGGCCTCCTTCAGCTTGTCCCGCCACTTGACCAGCGAGGCGTTCTCGATGGCGTGCTTCTCCGACGCCTCGACCGCGCTGTTGATCTTGATGAGCAGCATGTCCAGCCGCCGCAGCTTCTTGTCTGCGGCCGCGGCCGCGTCCTTCCTATCGAGCTTCCCCATGAGTCCGGAAAACAGTACTCTTGTGAGTTGTGAGCTCGCCGGTCACGGCAGAAGCGGCAGAGCTCAGTAGATTCTCAGCCATGCCTTCGGCCTTCGATAATGGGAATCAAAAGCGCCTGTAATCTAGCGACATATTCAATTGTATGTATTCATCTGCTGGTGGAGTATTCATGTCGCTATAAGTAGGGGTTTATAAGGGGCTGAATAGTTGCAGAAATGGAGTATGCGGGGACGAGATGGCGAAAGCTGACAAAGAATTGGCATCGGTGGCAAACGCAGTCGGAGGCATCGAGGCAGACAAGCTTTTCGTGTAGCTTGCATCGCCCTCGGCAGCGAGGGCCTGCCGGTCTGCACTGCAATGTATACAAAAGACAAGAAAAATGGCGAATCGAGTAGAACTGGTCCAGGTTGTAGGGCTGCAGGGAACGGAGATCGCCGGCAGAAAGTCCTTTCAAGCTGCACATTATCTGCACATCATCGCACCATCTTCTGTTGTCACACGACAGCAGAGTTGCATACAATCAAAGGAGAACGCTGATGAACTTGTTTCCGAACAAAATTTCTGCCCCTGGAAACTCAAATTGCCAAAGGGAGTTCATATTTTTATGAAGAAGCCTTCAGGAAAGCCTACTTTTGAATGATACGAGAGCTTCCTTTCCCTACTTCTGGATTTGGATGGTTAGATTTTTGACCTCAGCTTTAAGTAGCCCTCAAATCATGGCTCTAGGACGATTAACGACTTCCTTCAAAAAGACCCGTGCAATCCTGTTGCGCGCGCTGGAACTTTTTTTTAAAAGCGCACCGGGCCACCCGGGTTTGTTAACAACTTAATCGCACCTGAAGACGACGCCTCGGCGGGCCGGAGGGTGGCCACCGGCCCACCACCTGTCCACCACTGCCCGGCCTGCCGACCCCCGGCCTTTGCCTGCGCATTCTCCAATCTCCAGCGGTCCAGTGCCATCCAGTGTGTAACTGTATCTGTATACCAATACCGACGACCGGTGCCGGTGAGCCGATGAGCTGACTCGACAAGGTACCGGCAGAGACAATGCAGCTCTTTTTCTCCATTTATCTACAAAAAAAAAAAACAATTCCATTTCGTCTCTCCAGGACATTGAAAGTGAGGCAAAAGTTTTACCGCAAAATATATGATGAGAATACAGAAAAATCAAGTGTTTGTCTAGTTTTTTTTCCCAATCGGAGTGTGACATATATCAGCCCAGACAACTCCAATCCAATACAAAGACCGACCCAAACGCCAACTCACCACCACTACTCACTTGGGCACTTGGCCAAGACAACACAAAAAAAAAAAACAGCGCCTGTCCAACTGCCCTACTGTCTCTCCAGGACATTATTCCGGAAACTGTACAAATAATTATAAATCACCCATCTGGGTCATACAACAGGCCTTTTGGCATAACAGTTTTGACATCACGGTACGACCTGATACTTTTATTCGCACTGAACATTCTCCACGACGACAACACGTACAATCAGGCAACAAATATAAAGCACCACCACATAGAACAGTTTGGATCTGCATCTCCAATTTCGTATGTACTTTCTTCCTACTATACTAGGACGGAGGCGATCAAGCGCAACGCGGCCATCTTAAAAGTGTCGCCGCCATTGCTGCCGCGCTTGATCTGTGCTGACAGGCCATCTTAGAAGTGTCCTGGCTTGATCAGTGCTGAATGCTGACAGGTAGCCTATGGCGCAGCAGCACCCAAAAGGCTCTGGCAGTTGCCACTGTTCCCCCATGCTCTCTCCTTCCACATCTGCTCCACCTGATCAAAGCTCAAGCCCTTCGTCTCCGGCACATACATGGCCACGAAGATGAAGGCCAGCACCGCGATCCCGGCAATGATCAGGAAGGTCGGGCCAGTCCCGACCAGCCCCATGATCGGCAGGAACGTCTGTGCCACGATGAGGTTAGAGATCCAGTTGACAGTGGCCGACATGCCACCGCACATTCCACGGTATGCCTCAGGGTAGATTTCCGAGTTCACAGCCCACGGGACAGGCCCCATGCCTGGAGAGAAGAAGGCGATGTACAGAGCAAGGCCTGCCACCGCGAACCAGCCTAGCGCACCTTGGCATGTACCATTAGCGACACTCGTGCAGAGGCCGGATGATGACTGCAGTATAAAGGCCAAGGCAAGGATGACAAGGGAGATCACGACCCCAGACAAGCTTGTAAGGGCCAGGCGGCGGCGACCGCAACGGTCGATTAGGTAGATTCCAACAATGGTTCCAGCGGCATTCATGGCAGCGACGATGAGGGAAAGAAGCAAGGCCAGCCTGTTGGAAGAGAAACCGGCCATCTGAACTATTGTGGGACTGTAATACATGACGGTGTTGATCCCAGTAAATTGCTGGAAGGCCTGCATAGTTTGATGAGCCTAAATTAGAAAAGGTGGCACCCAGTTGCCTGCTCGGTGCATCAACTGAATCTAGATTCAGAACTTGTAGCGAAGTGGAATATCTGCTTCACTGACAACTGAAAGAAAATAGAGCATGACTAAAACAGTAAGCCAGAGAAGCTGAACATACCTGAAGACCAGCCCCAGCAAAGAAAGCTAGCCTCAATTCTTTCGACTTGAAGACATCCAAATAGCTTCCAGTATTGTTGGACTGGAATTCATGCATGGAGGATGAAGCAAGCAGCTCTACCTCTTCCTCCAAACGATCAGAGTCGTAGATCTTCTCGAGGACAGCAATAGCTTTTGCCTTCTCATCCTGGGATAAAAAACTAAGTTAAGAATAGGATATATCAAATCAAAGGAGACAATGCATAACTGGACCAAAAGGCAATAACCTTCCAGTAAAGCCAACGGGGAGATTCTGGCAGAAAAAGCATCAGCACAAACTGTACAATGGCAGGGACAGCAGCAACACCAAGCATCCAGCGCCATGTTCCAGGAACCTGTTCCATGTAGCATGCATATTAGTAATCACCACAACAAAGTAGTACAGCTTAGGAGTAACTCCGGCGGAAGTCTCTTGACAAAAGAGGTTGGCATTCCCCTTTTCTTTTCCCTTTAATAGAAACATTTTATTTTACTTAATTACAGTGACCAGATCACATTATATATGCCACTTAAAGTGGCAAAGCATAATAGTGTCCAATATAAGAGTTCTATTCCTCTTGGTCATTGTTCTGAAATCTTAATGTTTCACATCAAATTTCCAGTACAATAAAAACCATGCAAATCAAATGAGTCATCAATTTTAATCATAAACATGTAGGAATTCATGAACAGAGAGTGGAATAGAAAATCACTATTGTGCCAGGCTTTTGTTATTGGTCAAGAACAGTAGAGGATGAGAGCCAAGCAGTGCTAAAATGTGCATTTGACAGGAATGCAAACCAAAGAAGCAGCTAGTTCAGTGAACTCTCAAGAGCAGATAGATCAAGCATTCCACCAACATCAAATTGGTACGCACCAAGCAATTCCTCTTCAGTAATACATCCGTTGCTGCTGGCAGGGGAAGGCCGACTCTTGGTTCATTGACAGTAAAGAGTGTTACGCAATTAACTAGAACCAACAAGGATGTTAGAGCCATGTAAAAATATATATGAAAAAAAAAGAACACAAACTTTTCAACGTCACTGATGCTGAAAATATTTCTCATGAGATGCAGCTTTTCTTCATAGTTCTCATGAGATTGTATGCGATGCAGTCACATTTACTAATCAAGATAGACAGATCTTTCAATTCAACTGAAACAAAACATAGTTGCTTTGAGCTTTACATATAAGATGCAAGATCCCCTAATTTCTAGTTGTCTAAGTGAGAGGGGCTTAGGCTGAGAACAATTTCAAGGGTCCTAAGTGGAGATTGAGCATTACCTCAGTAAAGCCGAGATTGATAAGATAGGAGAAGAATTGGCCTCCGGTAATCATGAGTGCATTAGTTGACACCAAACCTCCCCTGATTTCTGAAGGAGCAGCTTCAGCAATGTACACCGGTGCCGTGACTGATGCAACACCCACACCCAAACCAACAAGGAGCCTTCCGACAATTATAATGTAAGGACCAGAAGCAGCGCACATGACAAGTGAGCCAAGAGCAAACATCATATCAGCAAGAAGAGTAGACTTCTTGCGACCGTACGCATCATTGATCCAACCACCCCCAGCAGCTCCAAGCACAGCTCCGACTAAGGCCATGCTAACAATCGTTTCCTGAGGAAGAAACCAAACCCAGACACTCAGTACATGCACAGAGAGTGCCATATTGAGACAACTAGTTATCAGCAGACTAGACTGAACCTGTAAGAAGTCATTGTCCCTGACCGCTGGAAAATCATCGCGGATATACAGAAGGGCTCCAGATATGACACCTGACAAGTGAAATTTCTCAGCTACAGGTGCAAAATTATATTGGTATTTCAGTCGAATTTCATAAGCCCTAAGAAAAAGGGGCGTTGGGGGAAAAAAACTCATGCAAATATTAACTTCAGGTCCTGTGCAAAAGTACCATTGCGCAACAGCCAAAAGGAGTGCAAATTATTCTGCACGATGTCTGATTTTCATAATGTGTCGAATTCAATGCATCAGACTCAGTCTATCATAATAACTAAAGAAAAGACTAAAGCATCAAATTCAATCGAATAATCCTAGAAAAGACTCCCTTCCATTTTTTCATATCAAATGACCCAAAATCAAGCCCTACTCCTAACCAGACAGAAAGCTGTCATATCCTACAATTAGAACTTTAGGATTTCTAGCAAGAGGGGCCCCTGAGAGCCGCTAATGCCATCGATTGCTCAAGCATAAGTTGTATATACCTGTGTCGTAGCCAAAGAGGAATCCACCGATTCCTGCAGCGCCCGTGAGCGCAAGCACGTAGGGGTTGTTGAAGAACTTCATGCCCCTCTTCCCCGCAGCGTTCAGGAGCCCGGAGCTCCCGGGCATGGACACGTCGATCGTCATTCCGGCTCCGGCCAAGCCGAGTCTCAAACCACCAAAACTTCCCCCGAAATCCAATCCCCCCGCCCCGCCCTGCCCCTACCTCGCAGGGGGGCGAATCAGGCAAGCGCCCCCAAATCGCTCAAAATCCAATCTTTATCCAGCAAGATGTAAGCTCCCCCACTCCGAAATCAAAAGCAGTGGAACGGCGGAACCGCCGGACCGAAACGAGGACACGCTGGAATATTATGGGAGAAAATTCTGGAACCGGTGCGGAACCAGGGTGGAGATTGGAGAGACTTTTGGACCGAGGAGAGACCAGTCTGTGAAGCAACGACGCCCGTCTTAAATAGGAGGATTTTGTTCATACGGCTGGGTACAGGGTACTAGTAGGTGGGTGGATATGATCGCCCGATCGGGGGAGAGGCCTCGGCTGGTATTAAAGCCAGCTCAGTCGGCTCAAGCTAATTTGTACTCAAACAAAAATACCGTAGACTAGCTCATAAATCAGTTGATAAGTTCAAATACACAAACCCAAATCTGCAATGATTTCAAGTGTCCCTTTGTCATCGCTCAATCAACCTGGACTTGAGAAATTGCGGTGATTTCCCTCCGTGGAAATCAGAAGAGGGCAGATTGCTCAATCAACTTCGAGCATGGTTTGCTCGTGCGTATATGCTGGTAAAAATAGGAGAAAATTATCTGGCACCGAAACAAATCAGTCTTTCATATTTGACATTAAAAAATTTAAATTTTCTTATTTAGTGTTAAGTTGAAATTTTCTTAACGCCAAGTTAAAATTTTCTTCTATATATATGGCACTGCCGTCTACTTTCATCAGTGACGGTGTTAAGTGGCTTGTAAGATAACAAAAAGGCCCTTGTTTGTAATAGTAGTCCACAAGTTTATTAGATAAGAAAATGATAAAACCGACTCAACCCATAAAATTTTCTGTTTGTATGGTAATCGCGGGTTAAATGGGCTCATTAATAGACGAGGGCGCGAGCAGGGACACGTACGCGGCGGCAAGCTTGACGCCGCGGGAGCGCAGAAACATGGCAATCGCGCGTGCCTCACACCTCTGCTGCGCCGCGCCCAGCCACCCGCCGCCAACAAGGTCTGAGGCTCCAGGCACATCGCGGTGCCGCAATCATCGTGGCTAACCACTAAGATGGAAGCTGAGAAGAGGCTCCGGAAAGGACATATGAGAGACCGAGAGAGGAGCAACTAAAAAATCATCAAATTTTGTCAAGTTGCTATCTAAAGAAGCTAAGACAACTGAAAAATTCATCGAATCTGATCAATTTTGCTCATGGAGTCTGTACGACAAAAGACATTAAGGCACAAGATTGAAGCGAGGTGCGCAAGATCTTGTAAAGCTAGTTGATTTGAACGCGGCGCTAGGACAATCCGGTGCCGCCGCGCCACGCCAAGTGGCAATGCCGTGCAGAAGAGAGGAGGAACACGACGTCGTGCAGCAGCGCGCCAACGCTTGGCGAGTTGCGACTGTACAGCCTTGGCGCACCCAAATCTCCCTCTCCCCGTGGTCTGTGCGCCAGGAGTCGCGGCCGCCGGCTGGCGAGGCTACCACGCCGTGTGCTGCCCGGAGGGGCCGCGCTGCCCCCGCCATGCAGCCGGCTGGCCGGAGCGCCGGCCCGTGAGCCCGCCCCACTGCCACCAGGAGCTGCGACAACGGCCTAGCTCCGACGGGTGAGGCCGCCCCACCAGAGGACGCGCGTAGCTGGTGCTGGGCACCACCGGCCACGGGATCCTCTGCTCCATCTTTCTCTCCTCGCGGGAGCGCTCGGCCGCACGACACGGGGAAGAAGGTCACGGGATCGGGCCATCAGGGGCTTGGGCAAATTGGATGCGGAGGGGTACGTTCGACACAGGAGATAAAACTGATAAAGTCAAACCAGTCAACTAACCGATGGACTGTAAAAATTGACGACAGTACTATTTACGAAAGAAAATTTCAACTTGGTGCCAAATAAAGAAATTCAAATTTTTGAGTGCCAAATATAAAAGATTGATTTATTTCAGTGCCAAATAGAGAATTCTCTCTAAAAATAGGGGGTAGTGCATTAAACCGTGTAAACATAGCGGGCACACGAGCATGCTAAATCCTCTTCCTCGCTTGCCCTTGCCTGAACCTTTCATTCGGTGGTGGTAATAAGGACTCCGTAGTGAATTATTGCAACACAACGACAGTTCGTTGGTCCTCACGGCAGCTCACCTGGTACCCGTTTGTATTTGTATGTGATTTTGTCGTGTCAGGACCCGGAAGTTTCTGTGCGAAAGAAAATACTACCTGCTGGAAGTCTAGAACCATCGTGATGGACGGATGCGCCTCATTTGCCCCCGTCAGATGGACGAGCCAGCGACGGGCAAGTGCCAGCAAGGCAGTAGCCAACCGGCACGAACGCTTCGATTGAGCCGCGTACGACCAGCGCCGCTCTTGCCGTAGTCCTTCCTTTTGTCTCGCGTCACCGTCATCCAACCTCCTGTTGGTTCGTGCGCCATCGGTCATCGCCTCATCGACAGTTTGATGTGTGTTCGCCGGTTGGCCAGCTGGCTCTAAATCGGAAAAGAGGCACTGGTAGAGCGAGTATAATAACAGACTCTAAACCGGCTAAATGTCGAGGAGGAGGAGAGAAGCGGGCTCAGTCGGCTTGGCATAATAACCAAAAAAGTATGTAAGACAAATAAATTGATCATATATTAACAGTGAAGCGCTAACTACTATATGAGTAGACTGAGAGAAGACTGCAAATCTATTTCAAGTATTGTCGAGTCTATTTGGACGACCTCGAAAGTGAAAGTTGTGATTGGTTTAAAGATAAATTTATAAGCTCTTTATTTTAAATTATAGTTCTTTTTATCCTATTTCTGTTACCTATACTATATCATAGCTTATATCGAATCAAAGTGATAACGAAAGAGAAGATGTTTACCTCAATCAGTGGCCTATCTTTATCCTCATCCACTATTCCATACTCGCTGAGAAAAATGCCCTATCACTTGTGTTCAAAACTTTAAGGCCTCTTTTGAACGCTAGAATTTCACACAAATTGTGAGATTTCACAGGAGTCACTTCATTTTTACATGAAAACACAAGACGGGAAAAAAAATCCTGTGTTCCAAAAAAAATCTTATTGGTCTCGTTCGGCTTACCCTATATTCGGGTTGGTCGGCTTCTTTTTTCAGTCGGAACAGTGTTTCTCTCTCACAACAATTCAACCAGAACAGTGTTTTTCAGCTGGTTTCAGCCAAAATTCTGCCAGCTGAACGTGGCCATTGATCTCTTCTGAATAGATCTATTACCCACTTGTGAATAGTTGAAGTTTCCCATGCTAACTTCAACACCATGAGGTTGCTTAGTGTCCCCCGCGTCCGACACTTTTGGGCCTGGAGCACTCTCTAGGTCAGATCAACGCTTAAGCATTAAGCAACGTTTGGTAGTGCCCCTGTTCGGCTTTGGCTTTAGCTCCGGCTCCTGCGGAGCTGTTTTGGAGTAGTCACGAGCCACAAATTGTGGCTCCTCCAAAACGGCTCTGGCTCCTTGGATGAGCCCTTGAGGAGAAGCCCTACCAAACAAGATCTTACTTAGCTAACTTTGGAAGGCTTGTGTTTGGTTTGTTGGTGGGAACCGGGCTCCAACTGGACAGACCGAGGAGGTGTGAACTGTTTTTGTTTGCCTGCATATATAGAGCCTGGCCGAGAAGATATGGTGTTTAGTTGCCTCTATGAAGTCCATATTTTACTTGTACTCGGATAGTCCATATTTTATTTTTAATATCTTAATCTACTTTAAAACACATTAATATCACTTAGTACATATTAATCATATGTTAATAGATTCATTAAGAAACTCTACATTGCACCATACGAGCCAGACTCACCAGAAACGCAAATGAAATCTGTATCTAGCGAGCCAGGCTCTGGGCTGTCTTTTGCATATGAGGAGCCTGACTAGGCAAGAACCAAGTAACCAAACATGCCACCAGTTGTAGCTTCATTGCCTTTCCAGCCGTACATCCTTGGTTGGCCGCTCTTTGGACACTATCGGCCTGTTTAGTTCTCTTCTCCGGTGAGCCTGACTCCAGGGCCCTTGATGGTTGCCTCAGTACGCCTATCTGCTCTCGCCTTTTTAGCTCATCTTTCTTCCGCTTCATACGGATGTACTCGACTCGAAAACGGTGCTATTGCTCAACCTGCATGCATGAGTCATTCCACTCCGTGTTTATTGATCCATCCTCATACAATATTAGCCTTTGTTTTCCACCTCCCACTCGTATCCTTATGCCCATACAAGCATATCCAGATTGACCCATTCAATGAAACTACATGCCTAAATTACGTTTAGAGGGAGATCTCACATATTGTAATTAAAAGCAAGGAAGGAAAGTTAGTTAGATAAAACCTTGAAGTCATCATTGAGATTTGAAAATTTGAAAAATCTACACCGCATTTGTGTCGAGGCCTATGATCTGTCCATGTGCTCAATATCGCTCGCCAGACATAGTAGTACTTTGGACACATGCCAATTCAACACTCCGAACAGGTTGGACTTCCATACTGACATTGTTCGTTCAATAAAAATGAGATTGGTGAGGAGGAGATGTCTGCTGCGATGGACTGGATAGATAGGAGTCAATGAGGTGAATGCCCTTTTGTAGACAGTTTATGTGGTTGATTGCACCAAGTTCATAGAGAGAACAACATGATAAACATCTGTGGCTTCTCATACAATGACATGGTAAAAATTTGGCTTTTCAGGCATGGGTCTACGATGGATATGTAAACAGGATTTAGTGGACCAACAGGATTTAGGGGTCTATTGAGATACCTTATCTATTCAAACCTGCTACCGCTAGACCTCTTCATCATGAGTCCAAAAGGTAATACTCCTTTATCCGGATATTCATTTAGAATACGTGCTTAGCACTATATTTCTATAATAATCTGTGTTTATCATTTCTTTTGTGCAACGCATTGTAACCAGACAGAACTTCCAACGAGAA